TCGCATAGTCTTTGGACTCTTCTCAAAAACACATATGCCAAGGCCTCTCGCAGCCATCTCAAGCAACTCAAAGAGAGTCTTCGAATGGCTTCCAAAGGTACCCAATCCATCACAACCTATATGCACTCTCTGAAGCAAACAACAGACCTTCTTGCTTCACTCGGATCTCCTGTTTCGATTGAAGACATGACTGACCATGTTTTGCGTGGTCTCGACGACAGCTACAGAGCAGTCATTGATGGAATAAATGCAAGGGATATCCCAATTAACTTTGATGATCTCCTTGAGAAACTTCTCATCCAATAACTCTCTATTGTTGCTGCTCAGAGACAAACTCCTGCCCCGGTTACAGCTTTGAATGCTCAGGCTCGACCCAACTATAACAACAAGCCTCGGTATGGTCAATTCCCTACACCGTCTAATCAACACACCAGTAATCGCAAACCGTTTCTTGGACGCTGTCAGTGGTGCAATGTCAAAGGACATGTTCTATCTCAGTGCCAACTCTTCAAGCAGCAACATCCTGGTATCCCGCCACCGTCTCGAAACTTTATTGCTCACACTAGATCGGCTCAGGCCAACATTACAGCTGCTGGTCCATCTCATACTGATTTCTTGGTTGATAGTGGAGCAACACATCATGTAACCAACGATCTTGCAAATATGGCACTTCATCATCCGTACACTGGTCCGGACTCGCTGTTCATGGGCAATGGTTCAGGTTTAAACATCTCTCATTCTGGAACACTTTTAATTCATGATTTATCCTTGTCTAATGCTCTGTGTGTTCCTTCCATGAAACAACAAATTATTTATGTCTCTAAACTTACCAAACAGACTGACTCTGCTGTTGTCTTCCTGCCAAACTCTTTTCATGTAAAGAACTTGCAGACAAGCCAAATAACCCATAAGGGCTCATGCGTGGATGGACTTTATCTCTGGCCCACCTCCTCACCATCTGTCCATACCGTCCGCGCGGAATCCTCTGCATCATGGCACCATAGGCTTGGGCACCCCTCATCCTCTATCTTTAAATTTATTCAACAACATTTTTCTTTGGGTTCAAATAAATTCCCACAATCCGATTGTAATTCATGTCAAATTAGTAAGAGTCACAAACTTCCTTTTCATGAATCCACTCTTAAATCTTCTTATCCATTAGAAATAATTTTTTCAGATGTATGGACTTCTCCTGTTTTATCTATTGATGGTCTTCGTTACTATTGCATGTTTGTGGATCATTTTACTCGTTATATCTGGCTATATCCAATAAAACACAAATCTGATGTCCAAAATATATTTCCCAAATTTAAATCACTAGTTGAAAATTTTTATCAGCACAAAATAAAAATCTTATACACAGATAATGGTGGTGAATACATTGGACTTCGTCCATTTTTAAGCACTCATGGTATAAGTCACCACACCACCCCACCTCATACACCTGAACACAATGGAATCTCTGAACGCCGGAATCGTCACATTGCCGAAACCGGCCTCTCTCTTCTTCACCATTCGGGCTTGCCCCTCACCTATTGGCCTCACGCCATGACTACTGCAGCCTACCTCATAAATCGTCTCCCAACTCCAATTCTTGGGTACAAGTCACCTTATTCCAAATTACTCCACATTAGCCCGGATTATCATAAATTAAAATGTTTTGGATGTTTGTGTTTTCCCTGGATTAAACCATATGCTAACCATAAACTTGCACCAAAGTCTGCTATGTGTGTTTTTGTAGGTTATTCGGCGGATCAACACGCGTATTTGTGTCTCGATCCCACAACTGGAAGGATTTATACCTCTCGCCATGTGAAGTTCGTGGAATCCAAATTCCCATACAGCTCTCTGGTAGCTCAATCTAATTCACATACAGAACCACAAACAAGCCCACTTCAACTCTCTATTTTACGGCCCCTAGCTCAACCTATTGACAATACCACTCTAAACCCACTGGAAAACTTATCCGCTTCCCATACCACTCCATCTGTCGCCCACTTACCAGATTTGGCTCAAACATCAACCTCAAATGAACCCACAAATACTACTCAAACTTCCCCTTCAAACTCCCAACCCCCCCCCCCCCCAACCTTCTCCACCACCCATCAACCCAAACCCAAGACAACAAACCAATGCTGGTGGGATCATCACCCGGTCTAAAAACAACATCATCAAACCTCTTACAAAGCTCAACCTACACGTTCGATCCTCCTCTCCCATTGAACCCAACACCATCACTCAGGCTCTTCGTGATCCTGATTGGCGCTCAGCCATGCAAGCCGAATTTGATGCTTTACACCACAACCACACTTGGGATCTTGTAAGTAGGTCCTCTGCTCAAAATTTGGTTGGTTGTAAATGGGTCTTTCGAATCAAACGGAATCCAGATGGATCAATTGATCGTTACAAGGATCGGTTAGTTGCCAAAGGGTTTCACCAACGCCCCGGTTGTGACTATACAGAAACATTCAGCCCCGTTGTTAAACCAGTGACTATTCGAATCGTTCTAACACTTGCAGTTCGTCAAGGGTGGTCCATCCGTCAGCTTGATGTCAATAATGCATTTCTTCAAGGGACACTCAAAGAGGAAGTCTTTATGGTGCAGCCGCCTGGCTTTGTCAACAAAACCTTCCCTAATCATGTTTGTCGCCTCAAAAAGGCACTTTATGGGATGAAGCAGGCACCTCGCGCTTGGTATACAGAACTTCGAGTATTTCTGCTCTCCATTGGTTTCGTTAATTCAACTGCAGATGCATATTTATTCATCCACCAAAAACCAGGTGTTACTTTGTACTTATTAGTATATGTTGATGATATAATTGTCACTGGGAGTTCTTCTGTAGAATTATCCAGCCTCATTGCCACACTTGCTGCTCGCTTCTCGTTGAAAGATCTTGGATGCCTCAACTACTTCTTGGGTGTCGAAGTAATTCCTTCCGCTGTGGGTATGTTTCTTTCACAAAGAAAATATATCACTGATCTACTACATAAATCAGGTAGGGCAGATGCGAAACCAGCATCCACTCCGTTGTCTGCAACTATTCCATTACTCAAGGATTCTGGTGATCTTCTGCCTTCCCCAACTGAGTACCGAACGCTAGTTGGAAGTCTTCAATACTTGAGTATTACACGCCCAGACATCGCCTTCAGCACCAACAAACTTGCACAGTTCATGCACAACCCAAGAACGGTGCATTAGTCTGCACTCAAAAGAGTGCTCCGCTATCTGGCAGGCTCGTGTGACAAAGGAATCTTCATCTCGGCAACAACTCCGCTGAACTTTCATGCATATTCGGACGCAGACTGGGTTGGTGACAAAGATGATTATGTTTCAACCACTGGCTACTTGTTATATCTTGGCAGCACTCCCATCTCTTGGAGCTCCCGCAAACAACGTTCGGTTGCTCGATCATCCACAGAAGCAGAGTATAAAGCCTTGGCTGACACAGCCAGTGAACTACTATGGGTCCTTTCCTTATTTACGGAACTTGGTCACACTCCAACCGCTAATCCGGTAATATATTGTGACAATCTCGGTGCCACACATCTAAGTGCTAATCCTGTATTCCACTCTCGAATGAAACATATAGCCTTAGCCTATCACTTTGTCCATGAAAACGTTCAACATGGCAAGTTTCGTGTATCTTTTGTCTCTACTGATGATCAACTTGCTGATATTCTAACAAAGCCTCTGCTTCGCCCACGGTTCGAGTTTTTACTGTCCAAGTTGCATCTCTCTTACAAATTATCCAACTTGCGGGAGGATATCAATAATAATAATTAGATTTAAAATTCCTTTAATTATGCCGATTTACAAATCTGTTATTTACCTAGTTTGTAGTCAAAAGTTAATAGCTACATTAGTGGAAAATCAATAGGAGATTTGTTACCTTGATTTGTTCCAAATTAGGTTTATCAAACCTGTATATATACACTACTGTAAACTAATGAAATTATTCACTTTTCTATATGTGGGTGTTTATGTATAAGCGTTTCTTCGTACAACAAAAAAAAGGGGTTATGAAAGAAATTTCTCTATCTACGATTTTGTTTTCAATACAGTTTACGCAGTGCTGCAAGCAAATGTTCTTGTAATTATAATTGAGTTGTATTTACGAAAATGCTTTATGATCGTACCTGATCAGAGTGATCGTCAAGGCCTTACGTCGAGCTGAGATTGAAAGCGAGATGGGGGCACCTGCAAGACACTCTGATGCCAAAGTAAGTTTTAGGGAGAGTGCAAACAAGTGTGAGTATGAGTATGAGAATGAATACCTGACCCTCTCAAATGAGAGGGTATTTATAGCCTCCAACGTTGGGCCAAAGTCTCCATTGTTGGGCCACGATGAGGCCCAATAATGAAGACTGTCAGGGCTTACGTGTGTATGGAGTCTAGCAAGGGAACTCCCCCTAGTCAACTGCTTCGTGGGAATAGGAATTGAACTCGTGATTTCTAGAGGGCAGTTAAGATGACAGTGACACAGACACATGGGTCACGTTCCTTAACGGATGCATGGGGAGGTTCTCAACGGTCCCTAACTTGGATTACTTGCCTTTAGACCTTATACAAAAGTGCTGGATTAGACCTCCCAACCATGGGACAAGTGCAGACCCAGTTCATATCACTTTATATTTTTATTACAATTATTTTAATTTCTAAAATCTTAACATCAATATCATAAGAACTACTATTAATTAAACTATAAGTATTTTACCAAACAAAATTATTATATTTCTAAGTCAATCAAATAAAAGAAAACAACATTAGTTACAATCATCCTTCTCAATAAATGAACCACAACATTCTAATATCTATGTGATACAACTATAACATTACGAATAAAAAATACAATAACTTTCGACACTAATTACATGATAACACAAAATTTAGACGAGTCAAATATTAATAACTTAGTTCGAATAAAATATGTTTTGATTAAAAGTTATAGACCACCATGATTTTTATATTAAACTTAATATAATAGCACTCAAATAACATTCTAACGAAGAATCTTTTTGATTAATTTATGAAAATTCTTATATGACGATCCTCCCAAATCAGTAGCAATTATAGTTTTCTTTTTCCACTCTAAGCTCTTTTGTCTCATTTCTTTTCCCTTTTGTCCTTCCATCAGTTCTATGACAATATTTGTTATCTCTTCCCTTTTCACATCGTAGTTGATCTCCATTCCTATTTTCCAAATGTTGCATAAATACCTACAATTTGTTTGTTGTTCGGCAAAGAAAGGCCAACAAATAGTGGGCACACCATATGTAATAGCTTCAAGTGTCGAATTCCAACCACAATGAGTTAAAAATCCCCCAACAGATGGATGAGCAAGAACTTGGTCTTGAGAGCACCAACTAGTTATGTATCCTATATCCTTAACTTCATCTAAAAACTCTTGTGGCAAACTTGAAGTTTCTTCACCCATTACAACATCTGACCTCATTATCCATAAAAATGGTACCTTGCTATTTGCTATTCCCCAAGCAAATTCTTTCAAGTGATGATTTGTCATAACAGTTATACTTCCATAATTAATATATAATACCGAGCAAGATTCCCATTTATTCAACCATTTTATACATTTTGGATCACTTTTCCAAAAATTTGAACCACTTGCTTTAAAACCATTATCTTGCTCGGGAAAATGCCTACCAAGAATGTTCATTGGTCCAATACTATATATGTTTGGATTTTTGGCCGTGAGGTTGTCAAGAGCTTCACCTTCCAATTCTTCAAATGTATTAATGATGATTGCTGATGATTTCAAACAATTTTGTGCCTCAGAACCCAAGAAATCGAACATAATATCATTTAAATCAGTGACTCTTATAAAACTTGGAAGATCTTTTAATCTTATATCTTTCATTCCTGTTATCCAATCTAAACTTGTATCCAATGTGCCATCGACCATGAAATTTTCATCTAAAATTTTTATAAAAATAAGTTAATGTGGTTTCAAAATATAAATATCAAAATTGCGAGAAAAAAAATATGAATATCAAAATAATATCAGTATCGTGTAAGTATTTTTTCTTATTTAAGTAAAATGTTTACACAACACAAATTGAGGGAGTTAAATTCTCTTTAGTCACACAAACCACACACATTCACACATTAAGATATTTAATTATTATTCGATCAAAATTTGATAGTTCAATTATATATGAAATATTAATTTTTATTTTACAATTTAAAATATTAAATTCAAGTTTAAATTGTTCGATCTTATTGAACGATCACTAAAATATTGAATGCGAGAATGTGTGATTTTTTTACTAAAATAAAACTTATTGGGAAATTTTATTTTAATTAGGTTTCGATTCGAGTCTAAATTTTCTCTAATTACAAAATATAAAGACGAGTCAGATAATAGAGACATTAATATTCATCTCAGATATATAATTTAAAATTTTAGTTCTATTGTTAATACTTTTTATTATTTAAAATGTATGTTTGAGAATTTTTAATACTGTTTTACTTTTTTGTCTATATATAATTTATTAAGGTGAAAAATTATTTCTATTTAAAAAAAGGGGAAGTGAGAGTGGGAGTGGGACGGAGACACTCCACTCCAAACCCGGTTGAAACAGGCTTGTGGTTTAATTTTTCATCCTTGGTGAAAATCAAGACGGATGAGAAGTATTTATTAGACTTTTATCGTATTATCTTTATCTTCATTTTGTTTATATTTCTCGTAAATCTATTTTATTTTTATAAATTTTAATTAAAAATAATTAAATACGTTTCTTTAAAGGAGTTATTAAATTCACTGTAACATACATCTTGTTAAATTAAATTTTCATGAAACAAGTGGATATACGTTAACAAACCTTATTTTGATGTATAATAAAAAAATTTCCCCTCCATTCAATTTACATCCTGTTTAAAATTCTCGAAATGACATTTTTAACTCTAACAATTTCTCAAAACATATCCCTCTTATATTTAATTGTAAAATTCAATATAAAATGAATATAGTTGTTTTCTGGATGGAAATAGTAGTTATCAAAATATTTAGTGGCTATTGATTCACCTCGTCCGTCCACACATTACATTATTATTTTATTGCAACGTGTCTGCGTCAGTCCGGTCATCGGTGGGGTAACGTATGATTTTTCTTTTTGCTTTCACGTGGTTTGTAATTAGATTTTGTGTTGTAAGTGTCAGACTGTGTAGATCAGACTAGAAGTTAGTGTGACATTGGGATAAGATTAGACTGGTCACTATTTTAAGACACAAGTATCAATATATCACTTTAGGAAAAAAAATCTAAAATATCACACTTTAAGAACTTATTCGCCGTCCATTGGACGAGTCAATGAAAAAAAAATATTTTCACATATAGGCATGGCCATCTACTGGCCAGGAGACGTGTTAAGTGAATTTATTTTCACTTTTAAAGTTGGGTTTTCTGTTAACCGATTTAATAAATTTTCTTACTGTTTGAAATTTAAAAAATTATTTGAAATTTTACGTTTGTTAAATCAGATATTTTATTAACCGACTTAACAAACACTGAGTCACTAAATGACCGAGTTTATATATAAAAATAATTTTTTTATTGACTCATGAATGAACAAGTTTGTTCTTAAAGTGTGGCATTTTAAGATTTTTTTTAAAAGTGTAGTATATTGATATTTTGGTTTCAAAATAGAGCCATTTGAGTAAAATAATCGGATTTAACATTTTTGTAACTTGATATTAAGAATGTTTAATTAATGTATAAACTGAACTAAATGGCTAAACTAAATTAAATTGAAGTTAAAATAAATAAATTATTATATTTGATTAGTAAACCAAAATTATAGTATACAAATAATTCTAAAATCGAATCTGAATTGAATAGAAATCGAAATCGAACAGAATTAAAATTGAAAATAAAAAATATTTTAAAAAAATTATGACTTTTTCTATAAAAGAATTGAAAATACTTTAATAGTTCAGAGATAGTAAAATCCAATTTAGTATCGATAGCCGCGCATAATTTATTAGGTTAATTTAATTCTTTTTTTTTTAATAAACCCTCATATATTAGTTTAAAAAAATAGGGACAAAAAAAAAAAAGGAAGAAAAGAGACAAACCAGTTCCTGATTATAGATAATTAATTAAAATTCACCATAATTTTATTTGAATGGATGAAATAAATAAAAATTTATTATTTAAATAATTAAAGAATTTAATTGAAAAGTTTGACTTTTTTTAGTTGAAACTTTTTTATATTAGCATAATTTTTTACATATGTTTTAAATATTTAATATTAAAAAACCAGTTGAATATTATATTAACATAAATTTTTACTTTGAGTTAATTTCTTTTACTGTAGAAAAAAAGTAAGAATTCACATTATAAAATATATGTTAGTCACTTGATCAATGAGAGACATATATTTAACCAAATGATACATTTAACTTAAAAATATTGATAGTTCGACTTAGCGGAATGTTATAATTCTGTGGTTTATATCGATTACTACCTTTATCTCTTACTGTATATTTGTATTATGCAGGGAATGATTTTCATATTATGCAATATTCATCCTACTATAATAGAAACCACAAAAGTAGAGAGGCTAGTAGTGTATATATTGTTTTTGAGAAATTTAATTTTGAAGATTTTCCCAATAATTTAATTTCAGGTTTAACATCAAAAGCACAAACTATGATAAGATGTAATATAGAAAACCAAGATAGAAAAAGAGATATACTAGTTTAATTTACCTTTGAATGGAAGAATTCCTCTTTTGACAAGTTCCTCAAATTGCAAATATCCAACAAAGCCACAAGCAGAAGCTGTCCACAATTGTAACTCTGGAATTCCTAAATCTCTAGCCACTCTTCCAGCAAACCCAAAAGTTCCATCAGCAACTATGCAAGTAACTGGATAAGGTGATGAAGTGTTGAGCTTAATCACAAGCTCTTTGAATGGACCATAACAGTTTTTCCTAGTTGAGTCACACAACGTTGGAATATCCTGTGTTGCATCCTTATCTGATTCTGGTAAACCATCAGGTATGGTCTCGAATTGAAAATCTGGGAGACCTTTCACAAACTCTTCTCCAAGAGATTTTATCAAACGTTTGTGGTTGAATTCAGTGTTCACAAAGGTTATGTGGAAACCGTTGCAACGGAAGAGTTTTGCTAATTGCATGAAGGGATTCACATGACCCTGTGCTGGAAATGGTACAAATACAGCATGAGGCTTTTGGGTGTGATTAGGACTGGAATCCATTATAGTTGGTTTTTCGTGAGAGTTTTTTTGAGTTCAAGTATCAATTCTCTTAGCAGACTATATGTTTTTGAAAAAAAAGGGTTTAGTTTTCCCTTGTTGTCGTTTATATATAAAGGGTAATGTTAAAAGATGATGTTTAGGCAATGTCCAATGCGGGGATAAAACTATTGATACATTGGGTAAGAATAGTCAACTTTTAAGGACATTTACCTAAATATTTCTTTCCCACTGTTTCATAATATTCAATATATATTAAATAACTATCACACGTTCATACTCGAAAGTAGCATACTCATAATCAAATGTTACTTAATAATGGACGTATAATCATTATGATATGTATTTTACAAACTGTTGTGAATAGTGTTTTTTGTAGTAGTGTTAGTGTGAAGTCAAAACTCTCTATCTAATGTGTTTTGATAAAGACAAAGTACAAATCAAATGATCATGTCAAATAATATAGAAAAAGCTTCAAGTGCATTTTATCAATTAATGTGTTCAAGACTTATCATGTGTGAAAGCTAGCATCAAATAACTCAAGACTTTTACTTTGAAGACTAGCATGGATCTTGATTGATAGTGGTACAAGCATGCAATTATATCGATGTCTTAGTGCTCAAAATATATCTTCATTTTCACTTGCATGCATAACATGTTTTTACTAAAGTTACAAACTAATTTTGTACTTCTGTCAAATATTTTTTTAAAATTCAGTGCAGGAAATCGATTACCCTGTTTTCAAGAATCGATTTCTCTTTCGTGTTTCAGCCTGCATGTCTTTTCTGAAAAACAGTTTTTAGACATGGAAACCGATTACCCCACTTATGGAAATAGATTTTTCTCACGAAATTTTGAATTTTCAGTTGCATTGCTTCAGGAAAAATTGATTACCCTCTTTTCCAAAATCGATTTCCACATGAGGCAGTAGCTATTTCAATTTTGTTTTGAATCTGAATATTTTACAAAAGTCATTCCTTAACCATTGCTTTTTTCATTAATTCACACGCTTTCATAGAGGTGTTAAGGTGTTATACATATTCTACATTTTCAGATTTAAAACTCACATCTTCCATTGCAATTTGAAATTGTATACTCATTCATTTTCAAACAAGTGTTTTGATTCTTGAAATTTCATAAAGAATTTTTATGCATTTGTTTCCATATCAGTCCAGAAAAATTCATCTCATATCCATAAACACTTGAGCACTAATGTATCCTTATAAATTGTTTGTTTGGAAGGGAAGATCAATCTCAGTGATTGATACATATTCGTCTACTTTTTTACTTAATATTTTTTCCATATTTGGTTGTAAATACCTTGCTCTCCAGGATTGTTGGAAGCAAGAGAGTTGGAAGTGAGAAGATTGTTCTCATTTCAATTTGGTTGTTTATAAGAAAAGTGTTCTTGTGATTGTGTTGGTCTTGTACAAGTCCCAATAATAGTGAAATCTCTTTCTAGTTGAAAGAGGAATGGAGTATCTTCGGAATATGAAGGGAACCAGTATACTTCCTCGTGTCATTTTATTTTTTTGCATTTTATTACTTTCATAACATCACTATAAATCAGAAAAATAAGTCCTTCATCCCTAAAAACCGATAAAATTTTAAAGTGCCTAATTCACCCTCCCACTCTTAGACGCACTCATTACTTATAATTAGCATCAGAGTAGGTTATACGTAACATGTTCCTAAAGATCCATAATGGCTTTTCGCAAATGCAAATATGATTTTCAAAGACGCTGGGAGCAATAACAAACCTCCATTATTTTGTGGTGAATATTTCAATTTCTGAAAAATACGCATGAAGGCACGTTTAGAATCTCAAGGAAAAGAAGTTTGGAAAGCCGTTGTTGAAGGTTATTACGTTCCTACATGTGTTGTTAATGGCATTGGCACTCCAAAGCCCGTTGATTCATGGGATAAAGATGATGAAGGAAAAGTTCTTTATAATAAGAAAACAATAAATCTTCTTCAAGGTGCTCTTAGCATGGACGATTTTTTTTTGAATTTTGGCAATGCATAACGATAAAGTAAATATGGGATACATTGATAGAAACTCATGAAGAAACAAATGAAGTTAATAGATCTAGATTGAATACTTTAAGTCAAGAGTACGAGTTATTAAGAATACAACCCGAAGAATCCATCCTTAATTTGCAGAAAAGATTCGTGTAATTGACAAATCACTTAAATGCACTTGGTAAGACTCTTACTAACGATGATCTTAATCTTAAAGTGCTTAGATCTTTAATCAGAGAATGACAACCAAAAGTGACAGCAATCTCCAAAAGAAAAATCTATCCATAATGACTTCCGCAACATTATTTGGAAAACTCCAAGAATATGAGATGAAACTTGGAAGAATAGAAAAACATGAGATCAAGAGGAAAAAAAATCCAAAAGTATTGCATTAAAGGTTGACTCCAAGGAAATTAAAAAGGGAGATAATCTGAAAGATGATGAGAACTTCATGCTTCTTGTACAAAGGTTAGGTAAATTTTTTGGTAATAATGAAAATACTAACTTTGTGAAAAAGAATAAATTCTTCAACAAGAAAGAAGCCTCTACGTCAACACAAAATATGACTTGCTATGAATGTGGGAAACAAGGACACATAAAGTCAGAATGTCAAATCTCGCCAAACAAATTGTTTCAAGAAAAGAAAGGAGTCAAAGTCTAAAATAGCCTATATTGCATGGGGTGATAATGAAGTCAGTTCATCATCTAATTCGAATAGCGAAGAATATGTAAATCTTACATTGATATCCTCACACCATTCTGATGATGAATATGAAAAGGTTATAATGATTTTTCTCTATTTGATAATGATGTTTAAGGTGTTATTGATGAACTTCTCAATAAATGTAAGATTTTATATAAAATGGTGTTAACACAAAATAAACAAATTATGTCTCTTGAAGAAAATATTGACACCATGGAAAATAATTTTGAAATTGAAAAACAAAGTGTTCTTGAAAAGGAAAAACAATATCTTACATGCAAAGAGTGTGAATCACTTTCTTTCTAAATTGTTCAATTAAAAAGAGTTCTTGAAAGGTATGAAAAAGGACAAGCTGGATAGGACAATGTACTTAGTTAACAAAGGTACTTAAATGATAAAATGGTCTTGGTTATTCTAAATCTAACAAATCAAATACTAGTAAAACTATCTTTGTAAAGGAAAGTGACCAATCCAACAAGGAAAAAGTGAATAAAGCACAAAAGGTTCATCATCGCACTAAGAAGAGATTTCCTAAAAATAAATCTTATGTTCCAAGATATAGAAGTAATTTTGTTCCTACATGTTTTTATTATGGAATAAGTGGCCATACACCTAATATTTGATATGTAAGAAAATTTAGTGTAGCAAGTGAGCATTATGTCTGGGTTAAGAAAGAAACTAATTATGAAGGACCTAAAGCACATTGTGAAGGTGTGAAGAACACAAGAAGGGGGGGGGGGGGGGGGGGTTAAATTGGGTTTTAAATAAAAACTTTAATTTTAAAAATATTACCCTTTAATTAAAATACTTTTTCTTCACTCCTGATAATAACAATAATTAAGATCAGGAAGTAAAGAACAAGGTATATTTATACTAGTTCACTTGAAATCTATCAAGCTAGTCTAGTCCACCCGCCAAGGTGATTTCGCATCTATCAATCAAGGACTTAATCCAATAATCCAACTGATTATTACAATGCACAAGCTATCTACAAGTGGCTAACAACCTTTAAGACACACAAGTCCTAGACTTCTCAAGAATACAGAGCTAACGATCCCTTAAGGAAAATCAAACAATAACCCAACTGATTATTACAATGCACAAGCTACCTGCAAGTGACTAACAACCTCTAAGACACACAAGTCCTAGACTTCTTAAGGATACATACCTTATCGACCCCTTAATAAGATTCAAACAACCGTTTGAATACAAGTTTTGTTTACAATGATATTGTTTCTACAGAAGCTGAATATGTAAACTATTTTAAGAATAATGATTTAAGAATATGAAAGCCATGAACAACGCTTGTGCGTGAATATTTCGTTGATTAGCCACTTTCTCTCTTAGTCTTCAAGCCTTTATATAGCCAATAAAATAATATATCCTTTGAGGGGTACTCTTGGGATTTCCTGAAACATTGGCAATTTGAACTGTAACGTGGGGGACAAGATCGTGTGACACGTCTATCCTGTCATGATAGTGGAATGAAATGTTGATTGTACCATGTACTATTTGTACCATGCTAATGTTATCTTCTTTCCTTCTACACTTCAGATGCTTCTGCGAGCATAAGTTTAGAAGTGAGAACATAACATAGGGTCATCAGAACTTCAAGTCTTCAGAGTCTTCAGAATATCGTCTTCAGAGCTGCGTCTTCAGAGTCTTCGGTACTTGGTCGTGAGAACCTTTTCTTAGAACCTTGGTTATTTAGAAATTTAAGTCTTCAGAATCTTTAGAACTTCTGTCTTCAGACTCTTCAGCACTTGGTCTTTAGAACCCTTTACTTAGAACCTTGGATCTTTGGAAACTTGAGTATTTAGCATCTGGACTTAAGTAGAACTTCTTGTCTTCAGATCTTCTGACTATTTATTTAGAACTCGTTGTATTCAAAAACATGAGTCTTCAGCATCTGGACTTTATTAGAAACTTCTGTCTTCAGATCTTTTGACTTGTTTCTTTAGAGCGTGTTATCTTTAGAAGCATGAGTCTTCAGCATCTAGATGTAAGTAGAAACTTTTGTCTTCATATCTTATGACTTGTTTCTTTAGACAAACATCATAGCCTACACTTCAGAAGCTTCTGGAGTGTCTTTTTACTGTTCATAGAACTTGTGTAGCGCAAAAACGAAATTAATTCTCTTCTAATATCTTGGCCATGCCATCCATCAGAGGCATGGCCTGTTTGTTAAATACTCAAAAATAACAAATATTAAAGTATCAAAATTGTTCATACAAACATACTCATTTGTTATCATCAAAACTCAGAGATAATATTACAT